CCCACGCAAACGGTTTGGGAAAACGCCCGAAACAGTTTCAGCCGTCAGTACGGAATGACAAACCATATTAACAAAAACCAGAGAATTATGAGAGATAAGTAAAGGTGACCTTTTAGTTAAATAGGACGCACGAGGAATAATTTAAACATCAACAAAGCACACAGTAATTTTCGGCTCTTCGAAATCCCCTTGGATGTTCATAAATAACTACGTGATTGCAATTTAGGCTTTAAACCAAGTTCTGGGTTGTGCTGACGCCGGTTATGGAAAGCGAGCGGATAGAAAGGCGAACAAGTGAAACACCCCATGGCGCAGAAACTTAAAGAGTATGTCAAGGTCATCAAACATGACAGACGACTAAATTGCGTTACCGCTAAAACGATACCCATATAATTTATGTAAGCTGGATGCAGATGAGAAATCTATTTTGAAAGCAGCATTGGATAAGACAAGAAATAAGTATGAGAATCAAATTAGGAAAAAAAAGTAAGGGGAGGGGAGGGGGATGGGGTTGCGAGGACGGGGGGAGGGATAAGGTAGCTATTGCACTAGAGACCATGATTGTCAATGTGTTTAGAATTAGCGCAAATGCATTTGGTACATATCGGTGTGAAAGGAATGAGACAATATATAGCGATACTGATGATGAGACATGGTGTACACAGCGTAGCCGTTCTTCTAGAGCAGAGGAGGCCGAACCTTCCCTTGTTAGGCAAAGAATGAGGCCAGATCGAGCGTGTAGGGGATAGCAGTAGGAACCTAGGAGAGGCAGCAGGTGTCCTTACTGACCTCGCGAAGATTTATTGAGCCGTGCAGGAGCAAACTGACAGCTGCCTTGGCAAGGAAGCTTGTGGTACCGAGACGAATATTTGCAGGCGTGGAGGCGAATTGGTGATAGAGGGACCAGTCGTCAGCAATCTTATCTTTCGGCCATGAAAGACGCCGGGTACGGGTAATTTTCTTTCCTGTCTCCGGATCTGTTTTGTTGCTACTGACGGGACTCCTGTTAATGGGAATTAAGATTGGAGGTAACGAAAACAGTCTATGCAGTAACAACAGTTAGTTTGCTCATATTTCAAAGGGCCTACTCTGATTGACTGAAAATGTTTACCAGCCACTGGAGATATAACTTGATTGTTGCAAGCCTAACTTGTTTCTGTTTTTAGGAAAGTATCAGAGGGGAAAACCGCGGGGGTAAGACGAAGG